CCAGCACCTCCAGAGTGCATACCGCAAGGCTTCGTGGCGACTGGCAGTGGGCGTGACGAGTTTACGCTAGGTGGCATGTCTGATTCCACATATGAGTATCTGCCGAAACAATACCTGCTCCTTGGTGGCCAAGTCGAGAAGTACCGGACCATGTATGAGCAATCAATAGATGTAGTCAAAAAGCACTTGCTCTTCCGGCCGATGCTCCCGAAAGAGGAGAATATCCTATTTTCTGGAAAACTCACAGTCCCAGCAATGTATGACAGCACTCAAAGCGGCGATCTATTGGCAGAGAATGCCCATCTGACCTGCTTTGCGGGAGGAATGTTTGGCATGGGCGCAAAACTATTCGACCGCCCCGAAGATCTCGAGGTTGCCAAGAAGCTAACGGAAGGATGTATTTGGAGTTACGACATGACATCCACTGGCATCATGCCTGAATCGTTTGAAGTAGCCCCCTGTGACAGCACGAAGGAGTGTGCTTGGAACGAAACAACCTACTGGGAGTACATCGACCCACGACACGAATCTCGGATAAAATATTACGAGGAGCAAAGGGAAGTTTATGAATCACAAATTGCCTCTGCGTCATCATGGTATAAGGCTCAGCTTGCTGCGATGACTCCACCGCCGAAACCCTCTCCTGTTGCTGCAGTTGCAGCAAAAGCCACGTCAACTCTGATATATGCGGATACACTGGACAAGCGCCAACTCGCTGAGCTTGTAGATGATGTCGAACTTGCACACATGCCAAGCTCGTCTGCGAGCATCCAGCAAAATCGGGATTCAGTCATGGGCGGCGAACCTGAGGAAGGTGAAGGTCCTCCCATCAAAGCTCAACCAACACTGGATATCCCAGAATTTGCTCAGCAGCCAACTCCGACTCTACCAGACTTCCCTTATGTTTATTCGCCAGTCCCAGTCCTGAGTCACAAGGAATACGTGGAGAATAGGATCAAGGAAGACCGACTGCCGAAAGGTGTTACCAGAATTGGGGCTAAGGATTATATTCTCCGGTAAGTTTCTTTTTGCTCGGTTTCAAGCCAGCATTTTTGCATTTTATGATGTCACTAACGTTAATAACAGCCCGGAAGCAATCGAGTCCGTGTGGTACATGTATCGTATAACCGGATCACAGCACTGGCGTGAAGCCGGCTGGCGCATGTTCCTCGCCATTGATCGCCACACAACAACCGAGTTTGGCAATTCCGCCATCGACGACGTGACGAAGACGGCTCCTGTGTTTCAAGACGAGATGGAGAGTTTCTGGCTTGCCGAGACGTTGAAATACTTTTACCTCCTGTTCTCGGAAGAGGATGTTATCAGCTTGGATGATTGGGTATTGAATACTGAGGCTCATCCATTTAGGCGTCCGACTTGAGAGCGGTTTATGTTGTCTTAAGTTATGTACAGTGGCTGGTAGTGTCCGGTTATTACTATTATTTTTGCGTGCACTCTAATAGCTGGTCTGGGCACGCATTGCATAGAAGAATTGAATTGATCACTGCAATTGTCTCTCTTTTCAAGCAGATTGTCGTATAGTCATGAGATTGTGGGAGTTTGTGTCTAAGACGAACTTCCGTGACGAAACAGGTCACGCAGGCCTCGTGTTTGGGTAGTGTTATGACGAAAGCGAGCAGCTCCTCTTGTGTGACTTACTTTTACTTAGTAACTTGCTCTAACCCTGGGCCCATTGAAAGGCCGCAACTTGATGGGCAAGATGGTGTGTGACAAGATGTTCTACGCAAATGCCTTTTTTCTTGGGTATAAGGCATATAGCCAATTTTGGCACTAACGACCTCGCGATGCACGTATTCCAAGAACCGTTGCCCGGTGTAGAACCCCATGCCAATGACATATCACTCTAGTCCATAAAAGTAAATAATAATAATAGTTTTACCACTATGTGCAAGACGAATTCCTCTACTGTTAAGCTCCGCTGCTAAGACCCACCTCCGCATATTTCCATATGATGTGGATCATTATCTCGGATTATAGCAATCCGAGGAGCACCTCGGCTGGATTTTTCCCGCATGGTCAAGTTCAATGTCAGCACTAAGCTTTTGACAGGAAGCTTCTGCACGTGTGAAACAAGTCTTTTTCATGAATTCAGTCCCACATAGGTGAGAAAACTTGAAACTACGAGGGTTAGCTGGAGCACAAAGAGACGCTAATCTTTTCGGGCACGGTGAACACAGTCAGGCTGTCAGGCGTAGAGACATCGATATGGTACCCCACATAGGTTCTCGCGGGTAAAGGTGTCTTGATGCGGAGATTACAGGGTAGGGTAAAGGGTCGGGCTGGAGATCGGATGCGGCTTAGTTCCCGTCATCCCGGTGAGATGTGCCTGGCACACCTGTCACTCATGTCACTAAAGAAGAGAGCGCAAAGTGCAAATGGATGGCGCAGAAAATGACATGATTGTATCATGGGGAGCATACTACCGCCATATATATACAAATAGGCGGCTGGGAAGATACCAAGGGCAGAATTGGCAAAGCTTAAGCGAAAAAAATGCATAGTAGAGAGCCAACCACGTAAGTTTTAACAATTGCTGTACTATCCGGGACGGCAGTCAGGCGCACGGCCATTCGCGATGGTAGGATATACTCGATACATACATATATCCAGGGATCCGCATCACTAGCAGGAATAACGGCTGTAAATTCCGTTCATCAAACACTAATTGATGAAAATATTATGTCAGTCGACATCTGTCTTTACTAACAATCTTATGATATGCTCGTCTTTTACAATATCCACATTCTATCTCAGCGGTGGGGATTGAGATGCCACAGGTGAGAAGACTACGATGGCAAGACTATGAACCCCTCACCAACAGTCCAACCTTCATGTTTCTTTTGGACTCGTCGGACCGCGCATGATGCATCGGGGAGTGATCACTTTGAACGACTGATGAAAAGTTTCACGGCAAAAATAGGTAATATGCAGGGACTGGTCTGTGAATACGTGTTCTGAGAGTTTAGTAATTGTATCCATATTAGTTATGGATATTGAGATTCCCATTTGGGGCCCTAGTCAAGTATCACGGGCGTTGATCTGCACCCTACACATACTTTAACTGACGCGTATACCATTCACCGCTTAGGACACTCCGTCGGAACCTAGGAAAGCTTCGCGCATATAGTTTCGCGCAACCGTATCAAGGTACCACTTCGGTTAGCATTCACCTTCTAGAATACTCCCACCCTGGAAGATTGGAGTCTCAAACATTAAGTCTGGGCAGTATAAAAGGGTCTCAGCACCTCGCAGGAGAGTAGACAGAACAGCCGCATCCACTTCACACCAAGAGCTTTGTAGCAATCGTACACCATGAAGATCACTTCATTCATCGCCGCCGCCCTGGCCTCCGTCGCCACTGCTCAAGATGCCTGCAAGCTATACAACTACTACTCAAGCAACGGCTACGAGATCCTCAACAACCTCTGGGGCAAAGATGCCGCGACCAGCGGATCCCAGTGCACATACGTCGACGGCGTCACCGACGCCGGTACGAAATGGCACTCAAACTGGACCTGGGCCGGTGCCCCAAACAACGTCAAAAGCTACGTCTATGCCGGCCGCCTGTTCACCAAGAAGCCCGTCAGCCAATTCACCAACCTGCAAACCGAGGCAAACTGGGCCTACGACACCAGCAACATCCGTTGCAACGTCGCCTACGACCTCTTCACTGCCCAAGACGTCAACCACACCACCAGCAGCGGCGACTATGAGCTTATGATCTGGCAAGTCCCAACCCATTCCCCTCACATGTTTTGTAACTACTTGCTAACTTGCCCATGTAGGTTGGCTAGATACGACGTCTACCCCATCGGCAGCTCGCAAGGCATGGTCACAATCGCCGGTCACACCTGGGAGCTTTTCTACGGCTTTAACGGCGCGATGAAAGTATACTCTTTCATTGCGCCCAGCCCGATCCCCCATTTCACCGCCGATGTCAAGGAGTTCTTCACGTATCTGACTGAGAAGAAGGATTATCCTGCTTCGACTCAGAATCTTATTAGTAAGCTCGTTCCTAGGAAATGACATGAAACAAGACACTACTAATATGTCTGCGTGTTTTTTTTAGCCTATCAGTTCGGTAGTGAAGCGTTTACTGGGGGTCCTGCTACGTTTACGGTCAACCAGTGGAGTGCTACTGCTTCTTGAAATGCCTTATTGAGATGAAGGAAGGGGGAATCAGATACTGAGAAAGCTTTAGAATTATATCGGCACATACGATGTTTTCTCTTTAAGGTAGCGTTGCCCGTTGTGCATATACACTATTGAGGTTTCCACGCGTATACTATATAGTGAACAGGAAATTCAAGAATATAAATCTTTTTGACTCCTGGATGCGATTGTTAAAAGTCTCCGTAAATCAGGGGTTTGAAGGGAAGGCGCGCCGGTTTTTGACTACTTTTGTTGCCTCTGCGTGCTAGACTATAAAAATTTTCTTTGTATTATTTGTCACTAAACTTTGCGCTGACTTAAAAAGAAGGTCATGCTCGCATCTTAGTATGGATATATCGGATGACAGTTGATGTTCTCTGGGCTAGTTGTGTCTCGTTCGACAGTGCTAGAATAGAGGTTTCTTTTGCTTACACAACCTCCTCTCATTTAAAACCCCTATGACTTAAAAGTTTGTTTTAGAGGCTCTTACCGAATACGTTGTAAGAATATTAGAAAGAATCAAAGCGGACAAAGAAATTCGCTCCACTTTGGGGTAAAGAGAGAAGATGTAAGGTACTTTGCAGATAGGTACAAGATATATGACTTGTAGCTCTCTTGGCCCAAGCTATATCATTGCAAGATAAGGCAAGTTTAACAAGAAATCCGTTCAAAGGTGAAGTTTTTGCCCCATGACTGTATTGCAGAAACGCTAATTTAACCAATCAAACTATGTACCTGAAATCCTCTCATCTACCTCTAAGTCTGCTACTAAAAAAAAACCTTCTGCCGTGACTAAAATCCGATTCCACTTCTACCTCCTATTATGACTAATTGTTGCCTTTACGCGTAACGCAAGCTGTTCCCGGGGGCTGACAAGTAGTATTTGTGTCTCCGCATAAAATGGCTGGTCAAAACATTAGTTTAATGCTCAACTCAGTTCAACAAAAAAGAGTAGCGAGAGAAGAATCCACTTACCGTGGCAGCTTCCCGAGCAGCAGCTCCCATTGCCTCCAGGAAGTGTGCAAGCAACTACGAGTTCTCTTGTTAGCATGATATTACAGACCAGATTGGAGTCGAATCGACGTACTTCCGTTGTTAAGACATTGGCGTTCTTGGAGCTCAGCTGGGATAGCGACAGCGGAGACGACGCTGAGGACGGTGGCGAGGACTGCGACGAGCTTCATGATGAAAATTCAAAGTGATTGTGTTGAAGTGGAGTTGTACTGTTAAGATGTAGATGTAGGTTAATGTCTCCAAACTCCATGAGAGAGCATCCGGTATTTATACTTGAAATTCCTTTCCCCTAAGTTTTCATGTTGCTTGATCGTTAGCATGCCAAGTGCCCATGTCTCTTGATCGATCGCATGAGACTGAAGCCACATTCACTGTCTACTGACTCGTCGCGAGCTAGAAAGCTTTGCACAAAGTAAGCACTATAGTAATCATTTTTTTTTACAAAGTACAACCTTAACCGTGTATCTTGTGTCGCTGCGAAGTACCTCGTCCGGCAAACCACGGCACGTGGCATAATGAACTAGGATAGGTGAGGGATCCCTGCAAGCCACGCCTACTTCACATTATAAGCCCAGACTTCTAGGACGGAACCAGCCGTATTGCCCCGCATGCGTTGGTCGCTTGCATCCAAGTACCTGGGCTGTGTTGCTAGCGAGGCGGGAAGCCCCTTAGTCTCCACCTGTTAGACTCCATATCTATCACGAATCTCGTTGGGATGTTTTTATTGTTGCTATTACCACTGAACTGATACCCGATATTTAGGGAACAGCCTTGATCGTTAGCCACAGGACCTTGTTAACACAGGATTCCCAGACTTCAAGCATACTAATCAAGTCGTATTAATCCTTGCCAAGCTCTGGGTTATGCCGTCGATACAACAGTGCAAGATGCTTACCTCCGTAGTATAGCCGTATCCGCAAACGGGAGTTTCCAATACTTCTCAACCGTACTAACCAGTAACTGACTCGATTCGGTTTTCGTCCGTTAGACGCTAAGCATTCTGACGTGTATATGCAACAATAAGAAACATGGAGCAAAGCAAACGGATGAAACAGAGAAGTGTCAAGATGCGAACATCTTGGACAGTGCTCAACAATTGATCCATATGCATTCCATACAGTGTAACTTGGTTGATTGAACTCCTGCTGCATTGTCGTAGCTATTTCGGTTCCTGCCGTCCCGTCGGGCGCACCAAACCAGATTGTTACAAAAACCCTCGATCGATCCAAGCAGTCTTTCCACGTGGCGACCAAGTCACCCTTTGTGGTTTAGATAATCACGAGTAAAATGCCCTGATTTCACCGACCATGGGCCTAGAATTTTGACATCACGTTAGACCTAGGCTTCGTCCGAAGGAGGAACAGATAACCAGGCCAGAACGCACGTCACATCAAACGCCGGAGTGTAGCTGCGAAGCAATCAGATAGCAGTACGGATGTATCGCTTCGGTATTATTTGGCTGGTACAGCCGATCGTCAAGGTACATACATGTTGTGGTGGCAATGCTTTATAAAAAGTGTGAGAGAGGGTTTGATTGTTTGGATCTTCCAGAGATCTGGACTACGTACTAGTAAAGCTGCGCTAACCCATATCTGGGAGGCACCGCCACATCAGCGGTAGCATCTCCACATTGAGAACTGCCCTTTTCACATGTTCATGTCTGTCTTTCAAGGACCCGTTAGTGTGTCAAAGGCTTCACGTAGGTAGACTTATCGATCTTGTTGCACGTAAATACAACGAGCGTAGAATCTCATATTTGCGCATAGTGAGGTTGTAGTACGTGCACAACAGGAATACGAATGTAGCATGCTAATAAGCAATGAGGTCATTCTTCAATGCCTTTGCATAACGGCGCTTGATCAGCACGAGCTATTTGAGCCCTGTGGTTTCCGAAAGAAGGATAGCGGTAATTATAATAATTCATCTCACGTCACATTACCCAATGGGAATGTTGCGCGTTTAGAAAAAGGAGCTAAATTAACTAGTAAAAGGAGAAAAATAAAGAGCCAAGAATATGTGACAGCACTAGTGTGGGCCACAGGTCACACTATAGAGTGAAACAACGCTTATCATACACAGGGCTAAGTAACTCAAGCCTGCTTTATTACTCTTACCGATGTTCAAGCATCCGGAGATACCGGATACGATTAAATAGCACTGAAGGGAACTTCCTTGCATCTATAACGCGTCACCTATCAACATTTCGAACGTCACTTCGCTTTTTTGGGAATCTCCCGATTATTACAATTGCAAGAATATAGTACCTCTCATACTGTGTGAAATCAATAAAATCATCAATGGCACTCATTTGAAGAATCCATATCCACTATAATAAATCAATTCTCGAATCACGCGTACAGCTTGAAAAATTTATAAGCAGAACGGATGGGAGCAAGAAAAAAAAATGAACTCACCTGCAGCAGAGATGTCCCAGTGCTCATCCACCTGGATCATGACCTGCTTCTCCTGCCCTACAGCCGCCAACTCAGTGTAAAACCGGCGACTATCGTGAGCCAGGTCTCTGATCGGAAGAAGGAATCTCCCCTCCAACCCATCATATCCCCATCTAGTCCAATCGCATCTTCGAGCGCGTAAAGAGACGCAATATTACATTGTGGTTGTATCAGGCCACCATCAATTATAATAAACAAACAAACATACTACTGCATCCTCACGGAACGCCACTTAATTAGCAAACACATGTACATGTAATTGGAAGCATCGAAACTCTGCCTTCCAATTCCAACAAAGCTAACCCTGATTCCATACCATGTCGCCATCATTCAACGTTGTCGACCCTGAGCTATCTCGGCCATACCAATACCATACCACTACCCATAATATGTGCAACCTCTACGTAACACACCTCCACCACGAGGTATCGTGGGTTATACCCATTTACCAGTATAAAAAGATTGACGAGTAAGTTTCTCGGTGAGTACCCCGTCTCGGCTTGACGACGTCAAAAGCGCGCCATTTCCCAGTGCTCTTGAGCGTGTTATTGCCCTTTGCACACGTTCCACACGAGATAGCGGTTGTCCCAACTCAATGGATATATATCATATTTTTCGTATATTTACAAGTGAAGTAAAGCATGCGCGCTCGCATAGACGCCTCCCGGCCCTCATCTATCCATCTACACCCGAGCGGAGTATAGCAGCAGTACATGACACAAGTCCTAATATCTTACAAGCTCCTCTTCTCAAACTTTTCCTCATAGCACTGGATCTTATCACCGACTCTGAATTCTTCCCAGCCGTCAAACGAGATACCACACTCAGTATCCTTGCGCATCTGCTCGACATCTTTCTTCTGATTTTTGATTGAATTAATGACACCTGTGAAAAAAAAGACGTTAGCATGGTGTGTCCTTTTTTGAAAACATTCAGACCCAAAAAACTTACCATCATGAACAAGCGTCTCACCACGGAGCACTCTTGCTTTTGTGCCCCTATCGACGACACCGTTGCGCACCTTTGACCCCGCAACCTTCATCTTCTTCCTACCACCCAACCCAATCTCGAAGATGGCTGCAATTTCTACCTCACCTGTAACTTTTTGAATGACCTTGGGTGCGAGCTTCTCAGATAAAAGCTCCTTCACGTTTTCGACAACGCGGTATATAATGTTGCTGTCGAGGATCTTAACGCCCTTTTCCTCTGCGAGTTTGGCAACATTTCCAGGAATGGTCGTGTTGAAGTTGACAATATGGCCGTTTGCATCGGCTGCGTGCGCAACGTCAAATTCTGAAGGGGCACCGACACCATGGCGGAGGATGCGTGTGGAGACTTCTGCGTTGCCAAGAGCAGCGACAGAGTCGATGACTGCTTCTACAGAACCAGAGACGTCGCCCTTGATGATGAAACTAACGACTTCTGGACCAGTTTCCTTCTTTTCAGAAGTCGCGGGCTCCTCACCATTTTCGATAGCCTTGGCGGAGGCTTCCTCAGCTTCGCGACGCTCGGCTTCCAGACGACGAGATTCGTTGATAGCTTCCATGTCGCGTGCCATTTGTTCTCTCTCCACCTTTTCGCTGCGCAACTCGGTAACAGAGGTTGCGTGCTGTTCATCCTCAGCTTGAAGCACCTCGTCACCAGCAATCGGTTGATCGCGCCAGCCATCAACTTCAACGGCCATACCAGGACCAGCTTCCTTGACCATTGCGCCAGCTTCATTACGCAGACTGCGCACGCGTGTCCAGGTAGTGCCTGCAACAAGGGCTGTGCCCTGGCGAAGAGTACCACTGCGGACAAGAACGGTCGCCACACGCCCAGACTTCTTTGTTGTGCCTTCCAAGACCCATCCTTCCACACCAGCCTGAGGATCAGCACGGTGATCCAACATCTCCGAGAGAGTCGAGATAGCCTCCTCCAAGTCTGGAATACCCTGACCAGTCTTTCCACTCACACAGACAGCCTGGACATCACCACCAAAGTCTTCAATCTCAATGCCGTGGCGACCGAGATCGAGCTTGACAGCCTCTGGGTCGGCTTGTGCTTTGTCAATCTTGTTGATGGCAACAATCATGGGTACCTTGGCGGCCTGCGCGTGCTTGATAGCCTCGACAGTCTGTGGCATGACGGAGTCGTCAGCGGCAACTACCAAGACGACAATGTCGGTGACGTTGGCACCACGAGCGCGCATCGTCTCGAAAGCAGAATGGCCGGGCGTGTCAAGAAAGGTAATCTTCTTTCCGTTTGCTAGTGGCACGCTGAAAGCACCAATGTGTTGTGTGATACCACCAAACTCAGTAGCAGCAACACTGGTCGAGCGCATATAATCAAGAATCGTGGTCTTTCCATGGTCAACGTGCCCCATGATAGTGACAACCGGTGGTCGAGCAGGGAGCTCAGCGTAGGCTTCGGGTTCCAAAGGCGGTGCGGGGTACAAATCACCATCTTCTTCTTCGGACTGGAAGATGGGTTCGAAGTTGTACTCTTGCGCGATGAGTCCAGCGTGTTCGGCGTTGAGAATGTGGTCGTTTTGCACGTCCTCAAAACCCAGCTCTTCTAGCTTCTGTACAAAGTCTTCCACTCGTAGTTTCAACGCTCCGGCGAGATTGGCGACGGTGATGTACTCTGGTAGAGAGATGGGAGTTGGCTCGTTCTTTGCAGCTTGCGCCGCTTTCTTCGCTTCGGCCCGCAGTCGCTTGCGCTCTGCCTTGCTAATAGATGGGCCCTCGTCCTCTTCGTCTTCAAACCGCTGTATCCGCCCTCTCCTGCCCTTGGTCCCACCCTGACGGCGTGCAGGCTCTTCATACCGGTTCTTTTCCTCAGGCTCATCGAATGCAAAGCGACTCCTTCTTCTCTCGCTTTCAATATCATTGCGTCGTCTGTTATCCTCCTCAATTTGTGACGGAGACGGAGGTTCAATGTCCAGTTTGCCCTTTGACTTTTGTGCCCAAGCCTCAGCTGCATCTGAGATGGACTCCTTGTAGCGCTGTGGTGGACGGTACATTGTTGTTGATTGTTCGGTTCGCTGTTGCTGCGGCTTTTCACGTAATGTCGGCTTTGTTGGACATGTGGCACTTGTATGTTCCTTGGAGCCACAATGCCAGCAGGTTCGTTGCGTGTTAGCGTTCCTTGCAAGCGGCTGATATGGCTTGGACGGCCGACTGGTCGTAGATGCATCGCCCAACAACTTCGATATTTCATCTTGGTCCAGCATCTTCCTTTGTGGTGGTGCTCTCGCGGTCGGGTGCATCCGTCGATGGTCTGACGCTAGTGAGGCGCCATCATGTTGGGGCTCGTTGCGTCGCCTCAAGTGGCCAGGGCCGAATGCGGGTGTATTGACCTGTGGTCTGGCGTCCATGTTGACAGTATACCGGTTCTGTTGCATGTTCTTGTATTCGTTTCGGTCGGTGACGCCCGCACGCCGAGGGGCAGGTGCAAAGCGATCTCTGGTCTGATTGCGGCCATGCCCATCGGTCGCACCCGCTCTATTCACTGGCCGTCGATCGAGGGAATTCTGTCGGGGTTGCTGTGGTCTCTGTGCTGCCAGTGCGGCCTTCATCCTCTCTGCTGGCGACATATATCCTCCTTGCTGTGGTTGAGGGGCAAAGGCGGCACTGGCAGCCAACGCCTGGCGCATCAGCTGTGCCTGTGACATGGGCTGCTCGCGTTCATTTGCATCTTTGTAGATGATGCCTTCTGCTGACTGCGGCGTTCGGCTGGATGAGTTGAGTTGTCTTCGTTGGGCGGCGTGGGATGGCGTAGAGACGGCCAATTGACGAGTGGCACAGAAGATGCAAACATCGCGGGTCGAAGAAACCTGCACGTGTGTCAATTACCAAGCCGAAGAAATGCTCAATTAATTGCTCTGCTTACCCTAAGTCCACGCGCTCTCCGCATGTTGGGTAATGTGGTGTTGTGGTGTGTAGTGGCGGATGAAAGAGACGCTCAAAAGTTTGGAGAAGATCCCGCCCACAGATCCTTGTCCACTCACCCGTTATCGCTGGGCTAGCGCGGCAACCACTCGGCCCTTCTCCACCCTTTCCCCGTGGCTCCAGTCATGTCTCATTATCATCAATCAACATGGTGATATTAACAATATTCGTCTTCCAAACGGTATGCTCGGTTCTTTCAGCAGTCATGATACGGTAGTCTTTATATTGATAATCATCTAAAGGGAATTACAAACTGAAGTATAAACCACCAAGATGAATCTAATCTACGCCATGCAAGATAACCAAGAAACCAACAATTGAAATCAAAAACACCATCGCCATGCTAAATCAAATACCCGTCAAACACATCCCTCTCATATCCCTTTGAGCCCTGCACCTCAAAGAGGCACATTAGGCTTAATCTGCCCACCCTGACTCTTCGCCGGATCAGCACTGGGCTGCTTGGTCACTGTCCCCTTGGCCGCCTCCTTGTACTTGGCCAACGTCTTCTCATTATCGTTGAAATCCTGGTTGATAACTCCGCTCATGCCCCTCTGGCAGTGATCGCCGTTCGTCTGCGAGCAGTAGAACCACATAGGCTTTGTATCCTTGACCATGAACGTGAAGACATTGGGAGCTTCACCGGCCGTCGTATTGAAGTTGAAGCCGGAGAAGAAGGCGTCGGGGGTGTTGAGGGGTGCGCAGGGTTGGGCGAAAGATGATTGAACTACCGAGTGCGCTTTGGGTAGGAAGTGGAATTCGATCAGGTCGCCGGGGAGGGCGACGACGTTTTCGGGCTCGAAGTGCAGGCCAGAGTTGGCGGTTGTGGAGCCGGCGGTAATGCGGTGGATTACGCCTGTGGGGTTGATGGTAGAGGGGGGAATGGCGATGGCGTTGGTGAGGGTAGAGAGAAGAGTGGTCGTGAAGACCATGGTGGAAGAGAAAGAGAACATGATGATTTCTTTATTTGGAGTTGGGTTTTTTGGAGATTTGGATATCTGTATAGAACTTGATGTGGGAGTTTTAATAAGCAGGAAGGTAGATGTGTGAATGCTTGTTGATGTGATGATAGATTGATTCACAGCACATTCTCGCCCACATATATACTCGTCTGCCTCAAAGTATCACAAAATCAGCATTCTATTCATGTCCTACACTTAGCCCCCGGATGCTGTTTTTACCGGAGGAAGGTAAGCTGGATACTATTGTTGATGTTGCAATTTCGCTAAGGTGGATGAGCACAGCCTCATCCTTGACCATGCTGCGGCGAGCCAGGTCAGCAACGAGTTTGAACTCGAGAGACAGCATCTTGCTGGTCACCAATTTCTTTTTCGGGTCCAAGTTATTCCTGGAATCGTCAGGTGCTGCGCCGATGGGTGAAGTGGCAGGCCTTGGTGATGCGGCTGAAATAGATGACGCCAGTTACTTGGTCACCTGTGGCTGAGCCTCTGACAAGATAACACTATGCTGAGCAATCCCCACAGTGCTTCGTCTGCTTGGAACCTATTTTCACCATAGTGCCATTTTGGTGCTGATGATGATGGTGGTGATGGTGCTAGTGGCCATGATGAGTGTGCCACATCAGCCAGTCGTGCTCGGAAGCAGTAGCATCCGAAGAAAGCAACTGCGCCATGTGATATTGTTCATTAATCTTCAAAGGAAGGGTCATTGTTATTCATCACTGGCTATTTCTAATCACCAGATGGCAGCTTAGTGAATGGAGGGTGATGTACTTAAACCTCATCTCTCTCCTGCTTAAGCCTTGACGCTGGAACCTAACTGTATAGTCGATTATGTTTCCACGGAATTTATTGCTGCGTAATCGAAACGTCAAAGATTATTAGCGTCGTCAATGTGAATGTGGTATAGAAAGATATGCCAGAAGATAAGTAGACGGCGCCATGCTCCAGCTGCTCCATTAGTCATGTCTTCCTATACCCACCAATCCTCTGACTCTTCGTTCGACGAAATATATGAATAAAAACTACGCCCACCAAAACAGCGCAATATCAACAACATGTAACTGCACACTAGTAGTGTAGAATGTTACAATCTTTTCCTATGGCATATAAGTCTATGCGTAAAACTCTAGGATTTTTCTGTACACCTTATCCTTTTTTACTACGTCGTAGTGAATAGGGTGGATGGCAAAGGGGAGCTTCATTTTGATGGGGGCTGCTTTAATCCGGTATTCTGTCGGGCTAAGAGCCACCGATTCATGATGATTGTCGCACCCCCACCAAGATCTCCAATGATGCGAGCACTATCCTTGCGATACTAAGCGAAGGGTCGCATCCAAACCCTGGCATTCGGTCCATTAGGTAGTTGGAGGTGACATGAGCATCGGCAAGCGATGCAGCTCTTGTCACGCATTCTACCCTGTTACTCCTCAACCGCGCCTACAATGCTAATTGGATACGACCTGTGGTAATGCAAGGGGATTCACAGTCGGCAATGCAAATGTGCTAGTCATGACCAGTTGAGCAGACTCGTGCCATTCTTGATGCTTGGTAACCCCAACAACAATTGATACCTGAAATCGGCCCAATCGGTATGAGATGTTGCCAGCATGTGCAAAAAACAACAAAAGGTACACGGATGGCTACCAGCTACTCACGAAGAAAAGACAGCAAGTATCCAAACTTTGCAACGAACAAGCATACGTAGATACGTACCTACATATACGTATGTACGCCGCCGAAGTGTTGGAATAGTGGAGGCCAATGGTAGGCCTTACCGCGCCGTCCAGTAAGATAAGCGTGAGACGCTATCCACTGGCTCGGAATGTTTTTCGAGAGCTGGAACTATTGGATCATGCGGCTGAGATGGACAGCAACATCACAAATGCAAATACAATGGGCTCTCTCCACATGAATGAACCTCGACTAAGTCTTCGTCAAGACACATTTACTTACTGCTCTGGCCGGGTTGCTTACTTCGTACGAGAAAATCCGCCCTGCAGAAACCATGCGTCAACACCACGATCTCAACGGGGTTACCGAGCCGACTAATCTACGACATCGAGCCGCCTAAGCTTTCATACAGGTAGTCTAAACGCCTAGCGTACCCTTCGATTACAAAAGTCCGGCTGCGCCATCATCACGCTACAGAACGCGCAACTTTTGCTGTACCTATGAGATAAGGGATCGCCGGGCCCGGACTTTCGGGTTCCTTGGCAACTTAAACGCCGACATACTGCAACAAATTGAACCTGGATCCACGGCAGCGTATCGAATGCGCATTACTAGTAAGGTGGCGCACGACTCTGGTCCGTGGAAGAGCGTGGATGCCTAGAATGCACATGTACGTATAGGGAGAACTTAGAGTGGGGAAAACAAAAAAAGGAAGTATTTTGGTTCTGACTCGCAATTGACAATTCACGATGCCATGTGCGGAACCGCTTGGTGAAGAGAACAACCCAGGACTGCTTTCATGTCTAGAGACCTGGGTAAGTTCATCCGATTATCATACCAACAGCAAGAGAGCAGTTCACCGGATACGCCAAGCAGATGAGCAGGGTACTATCCATGATTACTGTGCGGAGTCGGATATGTCAGATGCTATCGGGCCCGTCGGCATGTCAATGAACAAGAATGCCGAAGTGCTAAAGGGGAACAGGAACAGGCGTGCCGCTGCATGGGCCAGGATGCCGTCGACGAGCCTTTCTCTAACAGCCGTTGAACTTGTCCAAGTGGAGAAGGATCCCTGCAAAACTAAGGGACGGGATGCCGTGGAGCGTGCCAAATAGCCTTTTATGCTTAGTCGACCTGTCTTGCCCCAACTCCCCGCAAAAAATATAAGTACTACGGACAGGCAGGCAGTATCGTCCTCATTATTCTCGATAATCACTGACAAACAAAATGCACAACTCTGTTCTGCTCGCCCTTTGGGCCGGCATCTCTTTTGTACTATACAAGATCGCATGTTCCATCATTCTTTCCCGTAAGCGTGCCGCCACGGCCCGCCAGTTGGGCTGCCTACCCGCCCCTCCATTGGAGCTGGTGCCGTTTGACCCTCTTGGGTTACATAACATTGCGATTTTGATCCAGGCGGACAAGAACTCTCTTATTCCTCAATGGATGGAAGAGCGCCACAAGCGAGCATGTGCCAAGGCGGGCAGGGAAATCACTACGTTTTATCAGAACGTCATGGGCGGCGAGAACTATTTCACTATCGAACCAAAGAACATTCAAGCCATCCTGGCAACCCAGTTCAAGGACTTTGGACTTGGAGTTGTCCGAAACAGGAACTTCTCCCCCCTACTCGGTCACGGCATTGTAAGTGGCGAACTTGTTTAATCAATTCAATGGCATATCCAGATTACTAATAGTAAATACAGTTCTCTACAGATGGCGAGCAATGGGCAGGTGCAAGAGCCCTGCTCCGACCTCAATTCGCTCGGGACCAAGTCAGTGACCTAGAGCTCGAAGAACAACACGTCCAGCACCTACTCCAAGCAATCCCCAAAAATGCCAACGGCTGGACTGACGTCACCGACATCGAGCCTCTCTTCTTCCGCCTAACCATCGACTCGGCCACTGAATTCCTCTTCGGCGAAAGCGTCGACTCGCAGCTCTCCGCCCTCCCAGGCTACAAATCCAGCCGTATCCCCCTCGCAGTCAGCGAGCAAGAGTTCGGCGTAGCCTTCGACAGAGCCCAAGCCCAAATCTCTACGGCCACCCGCTTCGGCGATGCCTCCTGGCTCGTCTTCAGCAGCGACAGGTCGCACATCCAACGCTGCCACAGCTTCATCGACCACTACGTGCAACTCGCCCTCTCCAAAGACAAATCGCGGCCCCAATCCTCCTCGTCGGACAAGAAACAAAAATACATCTTCCTCGACGCCCTCGTAGAATCCACCCGCGACCCCGTCGAACTCCGCACCCATCTCATTTCCATCCTCCTCGCCGGCCGCGACACCACCGCCTCCCTCCTCTCCTACATCTTCATGTGCTTCGCCCAGCACCCCCACGTCTTCCAGCACTTACGCTCCGTCGTCCTCTCAACCTTTGGCACCTACTCGTCGCCCCAAAACCTCACCTTCGAAGCCCTCAAATCCTGCAATTACCTCCAATGGGTCATAAACGAGACTCTGCGCCTCTACCCCGTCGTCCCCATCGACGGCCGCCGCGCCCTCCGCGACACTACGATCCCCACGGGCGGCGGCCCCGACGGCACAGCCCCGATCTTCGTGAAAAAGGATACCAACGTAGAGTATAGCGTGTACGTTATGCATCGCCGCAAAGACCTCTGGGGCCCGGACGCAGACAAGTATCGGCCTGAGCGGTGGGACGGCAGGAAAGCCGGATGGGAGTACCTGCCATTCAACGGTGGCCCGAGAATTTGCATCGGCCAGCAATTCGCGCTGGTCGAGGCTGCGTATACGATTGTGAGGCTAACGCAAAAGTTTGAGCGGATTGAAAGTGCGGGTAATCTTTGGGATCCCGTGGAGAAGGGAGGAGAGGGTATCATCAAGCACAAGTTGAGTTTGACAATGTGTCCTGATGGAGTCAAGTTGAGGATGAAGGAGGCGGCGGAGTAAGAAATGGTAGGATACATGGATGAGTGGTTTTTGTTTGTTTTATTTTCACGAGCTTTTTGAATTGCGGGAAATCATGGATGAAATAATGAATCGTCTTTTCCTTCGCTTTTCAGTTGTGTCCAAGTCATGGTCTTATATCTTAGTCTTGCATAAAAAAACAAGTCACATGCACCAACATTAACATTCTTCATTGTGCCAAAAACGCTAGCAATCTTCCTGAATCTCATTCTTTTTTTACAACTCTGCCTGGTACACTTCCTCTTGGCTCGTCTCCGAGCCAGTCGCCCATCCATTCGCAATCAGCTTAGCAACATTCTTGCCACTCAAAGCACTAGTTTCCATGGTGCTAATGAAGCTCTCAATGCCACTAGTATACCAAAGTCCATCGTCGAGCTCAATTTCTTCAAAAGTGACACGTGGGTATTCTCGAGGATACGAATGCCAAAGCTTGTGGTGGATCCAGCTAACATTTCCATTGGCTTCGCCGTGCTTGGCTTCCTCTTCCGAGACCTCTGCGCCGAGGATGTGGGAGAGAAAGGTAGCATTGACAGGGGATGGAGAAAAGATCTTGTAGATGTATTCGTGTCGGGCTGGCGATGCTCGCTTGTTAACGCCGGTGCCAGTGATCGAGATGCTGTAGAAATTGGGAGAGCCTGCCCCGTCTACAGCTTTTTCGGATGGTGGTAGGGTGGTGAGGATGGCTGTTGGTACGGGCGACTTGACATCCAGATTGAAAGCCGCTTGACTGAGTTGAAATGGCGTCGCAAAGAGCGTTGTATATAACTTCGTGTATGGAATCTCATCAGGAATGTGCTTTGGCGCGGGGTCGATAACAAGGTCTGAATACTGTAGAGGCGATGCGAGAATAACCTCGTCAAAAGAAGATGTTTCACCTCCACTAGTAGTAATCTTGTAACTGCCGTCGGCCTGCTTTGAGATGTGGCTGACAGATGTGTTAAGATGGACGTTTGCGCCGGAAGTCTTGAGCATGTGAGCGAAAATCTGCCAGTTTCCACCTGCGATTTGCATGGCTCCGTTGGTAGCCATGCATACCATTGTCTCCAAGCCATGAATGTATGGAAGGTTGGAGGCGTAGTTGACGCGAGTGCTGGCCTGGATGATTTCGTTCGAGAAGGCTTCTCCAATCCCATTCGTCTTGAGGTATTGTTCGCCCGTGACTCCCGTGACCTCCAGCAGACCTACACTCTCAACGGTAGCACTGAGACTCTTCCACGGAAATACCGGCTCGTCGTACATCGTCAAGAACTTGCCGACGGCACTTTTCATCAGCCTGTTGGTCCAAATTGGTGCAGTGCCATATCTCCAGAGCATCTTCCCAAGGCTCCACCAACTATCTCCCGAGTGCACGATTACAACGAATTCCTTGCCGTTCCAAACACCGAGGTCTGGTAGGTCGAGTTGCTCCGCGAAATTCCGCACATTTGTAGAAAGGTTGAAGTCTTCCATGGCCTTGACCATTATTTGGTTGATTTGTACAAAGATGGAACCTCCAAGCTCGATGGAAACAGTCTTGTCATCCCACGGATGGACAGTCGTGGTGCGACCACCAACATAACCGTTGCGCTCGAATACGGTAATGTTTGTAGGTATCTTCTCCTGGGCGGCGTATTGGGCAAGATGGTAGGCAGCGGATGAGCCAGCTGCTCCAGCACCTGTTCCGAGTCAGCTCTGGATAGCTTTCGTTTGAGTGCACAGCATACCTATAATGGCAACCTGCTTTGGGTGAGGATGCGCATCGCTGGTGGTGAGAGCGGCTGCGACCGGCAGCAGCGGAGCAACGCGCAAGAACCGCATCGTATTGATCTCGTACTTCGGTAAGAAGTAGAGATGATGAATCAGCTAAGGATATTTCTCAGGGAGCTAGAAGAGTAAGGCGCTTCAGGTATGCCCACAGGTCATTGTGGTATCCAGGTAAGCTGAACTGTCGAGAGCAATGACGAGGCCGGGGGAGCAGGGATCAGCTACTGTCAGCAGCGATGATGCACCACCCGTAGCAACTCTATTGTAACACTATTAGGGCATTTTTTGAAACATCTTGGGTGAAGGCTCGTCTGGACTGCTTCGGCCATGTTTATCTCCATGCAACGTAATGAACACGTACATTGAGACGTGCCAAAGTTGGCCCAACAGGGTGCGCGCTTTCACGTGCGCGTTTGGATTTCCTGCAGGCGGAGTGGAGTTAGGCATGGGGAGCTACTACTAACTCCGCGCCATTTTGGAGAGCACACAAAGGATAGAGTACCAAATGAATATTGGAGAGCTGATTTGAGAGGAATCTAACAATGAAACAAATTCACAAATAAAGCCCCGTATGAGATATGCCGATAGAATAATAACCATTGAAACACCTGGCGCCGTTAATCCAACCTGTACTTGTGCATCGCTCATCATAAATATCGTGAGATGGTCATCACCCAGGCAGCTGTCTGCCTCGAGCCTGCACATTTACCGGTCATTACATTACTTCCTCGTCCCGTCATCATATGGCAAACTTGACTGTCCGCCTCGTCTCTACTTTCTTCATGGACATTACTTCGCGCTCGACTGTGCCCTCTCTCGATGGCGTGGCTCTAACGCCTCTGAGGCGTCTTTCGCTACGCCTGGCTCTTGCTTCTCTAGTCTCTCTTAATTTCCATTCGTTCAGCTGTTGTCGTCGCTTTTGCGACCGAGCATAGGCCAGAGCAGGTGTAGGTTTGAATCCGATACCGTTGATGCCGGTGCCGTCATCGTCGGGGTCGGTTGACGGGTCAACAAGGTGCCCCGTGATCTCGCTGTCCTGCCACGTCAGGGTCGACGGTGGGGGCGTCGGCGATCTCTTTCGTGGATGAGAACGTGACGGAGAGTCATGCTGCGCGTTGAGCTCATGGTCTGCAGATGCTTGTGGTTGCGCGGGTTTGCTTGCAGGTGATGAGGCGAAGATGGTGGGTTGCGCAAAAGAGGCGATATCTGGCAACAAGCGGGGCTGGGATGACTGAGGGGTCTCTGGTATTACCCTAGAGGACTCGGCCACGGGCGTGCCAGTGCCAATATCAAAAGAATCTCTATTGTTTTTGTTGTATTTGGTAGGCGTCTCTTGCACAAACTCAGTGCTTGGTCCGACAATACTGTCGACTCTGGTGGCATCGAGCTTCGGCCTCTTGCGTAGGACATCGTCGGTGGGGGTGAGCGGGGATAGTGGTATCGCCGCAAGTGCTGTCAGGGTCATGTCTCGCAGCTGGTCGGCGACGGCATTTTGTGGGCTATCACCGCCAAACGACGGGGCCGGAGTGTTTCGTGGGCGTGATTCCAGTGCTGGACGCAGGGCCAAGGCCGTGTTGAGTAAAGGGATGGGCGCGGGCTGGTCGCGTTTGCGCTTGGGAGATGGGTGCGCCAGTTGTGTAGGCATTTCGCCGGTGGAAGGAGTCCAGAGTTACATGGATACTATTGGTATGGAGGGCAAAAGTACTCTTTGTCTTGTTGGTGTTGTTATTGTGGTTGTCGGGGCGAAAGAAGGCGAGTCCAATTCCCACATGATCTCGCTGTTGGCTACGCGAATGTGGGGCCTGTGCACGAGCCCTGCTCGTAGGGCTGAGGCAACCCTGTCCTGCGTCCAACTATCGCGTGGCTATCGAATGCACACCGGACCCGCCGTCTATCACCGCTCATGTATCTTTTGGTGTTTGTGGATGTGTAGAGACTTGATGTGTAATCTACTCCCTTAATTCTGCCAGCTCAGATATCCTAGCCATACGTAAACGGACTAGCTTATGTCGCGTCCGCCTGAGCTGTTGCCTGATAGTTGTCTGCAATCACTTCTCATCACCTCTCTCTCTGGCCTAGAACTCTTTCACTTTTCATCGTGCATGCAACACTTTTGGAGTTTTAGTATTGCCCTCTCACCTTCAAATAGTCGACATTATGGAGCAACAATCCATCCTTTCATTCTTGACTAAATCAAGAGCTCCCCAACGCTCCCCACGACCACAAAACTCACGCTCAGGTCATCCTTATCAAGACAACTCCAACTCAGACTCCCACAAAAAAAACCATTCCAAAGGCAAAAAGCACTACAACAGTAAATACCGCGGTCCTAATCACCGACGCAACATAGATCTCGCAAAGGTCGCAGACGAAACCAAGGCCGTCCTCCCAGACATCCTAGCAGACATTCCCAACTTCGACGCCACCAAATCTTCCCTTACCAAGCTCGAAGACACAGACGCTCTCTCTCCCACCGACTGTCCCGGTTTCAAGTCCAAAGCAAGCATAAAAGTCCTAGACATGGATTCCTTCGACGCAGCCCTGCAACTAGATCCAACTTATACCGTCCAAAAGCACTTGACTTCCTCACCACCAACCCCCCAAGCACCCGCCTCCACCTCCGTCCTCGTCCTCAACCTAGCCTCTGAGCGCTCCCCGGGTGGCGGCTGGCAAAAAGGCGCCCTAGCCCAAGAAGAATGCCTCTGCTACCGCTCCTCGCTCTCGCTCTCCCTCCCCCGCTCTTTCTACCCTCTCCCCACCCTCTCTGCAATCTACACCCCAAACGTCGTCCTCTTCCGCAATTCCATGCCAAACGGACACGCCCTTTTCCCCACTGTGCAGCTGCAAGATGCGTCGAGTCTACCGGCGGTATCGGTTGTTAGTGCTGCTGCGCTGCGGAAGCCCGCGTTATCGGACGACAAAGCGACTTTTAAGCATTTGGGTGCTAGGGCGGCTACGAAGAGGAAGATTAGACTTGTACTCCGCACAGCGGCCCGGAATGGACATAGTAGGCTGGTGCTGGGAGCGCTGGGCTGCGGTGTTTTTGCTAACCCGGCTGAAGACGTGGCAAAGTGTTTTGCGGAGGTGTTTGATGAGGTTGAGTTTCAGGGTGGGTGGTGGGAAGAGGTTGTGTTTGCTGTATTGGACAATGTTAGTAGTGCAAGTGGGGAGGGGGGCCAAACTGGGAATGGTAATTTTGGCATGTTCTATCGTGGGCTACATGGGAAGGTGGTTTGATAACATGGATGTTTTTTTTGGACAGAGTGATTTAGATCTGGATGATTGGTGATATGGCGATAGGGAAGTCGAGTAAAATACAGCAAAAGATAGAACATTGATATTTAACATATTGTCTCTATGAGATGATATCTTCAATGCATCTATTTCTATTGGTGTGGTTCTGCACGCTCACAGTATTAAGATGTCTCCTGGTTGGTATACACCATGTAGGTATGTGTACAAGAAAGCACAACAAACGCAAAAAGGCCATCTCTTGGACCTAAAAACAAGAAGAGGGGAAAAGAAGGCTAAATAATCACACAGCATAACACTACCCGAACGCTCAAGATTTGAACGTTTTGCTCCGGCCCGCAACCTCCTTTTGCGCCCTCGGCAATCCCTTGGGCGCATCCGCCATGCCTGCAAATGCTGTGAACCCTGTCTTCTTCTTCTTGTCTTTCTTGTCCTTCTTCTTCGCTTTCGGGTCCTCATCTTCGGCATGCAACACCGACTTGGCATTTGCGTAGTCGAAAACACCCTCATCACCATTCCGCGCTGCAGCTTGGGCGGCTGCTTCCTCCTTCTTCTTTTGTTTCCGTGCAGCTTTCCTCGCCGCCTTTTCTCGGGCTTGTATGGCCTCTGGGCTTTCTTCAGGGGCGTCCAGCATAATCTCGTCCCGCGTCATTGGATCGAGAGACTGTACAGAAGATGCTTCCTCTTGAGCGTCACCTCGCTTTCGTTTCTTTCCTCCGCCTAGGTGCTTCACAACAAATGTGTCGGTTCGTTGATCTTCCGCTGGTCTCATCTCCTTTGGCACAAAAGTGTGTTGCGGTTTCTCGGCCTTTGGTGTAGATGCAGCGGTTCCGTTTGCGTCGGCAAAGACTTGTGCTGTCAGAGGTGGCAGGGGAAGGGCAAGGTCAATATCGATTGTAGAGAGATTTTGCGTTGGCTGCGAGGCCTCGTCTTTTTTCCACAGCTTGCCCCAGAATTCTGAACCTGGAGCCCGAGCAGCAGAGGTATGGATCCCTCGAGCTAGTGACGTGGTTTGGCCAACTGGGGCTGGATCCTTCTTCGCTATTTCTACTGCAGTTTCTGATCCAGCTCTTTCTGCTTTTAGCATGTCTTCAATAGTCTGAAGTGTTGTGTGCAATTCTGGCCCATGTAGACCTTCTTTCTTGGCCTCTGCAACCACACCAACAAGCTCTTCTGCATGTGATCGGATAATGTGTGAAACGTGTTGTATGGCGTTGAAGAGTGCGGCCTTGTCTGCTGGCATTGCGCGGGCTACGGAAAATACGGCGTGATTTGGCATGATAAATAGTGGGCTCTCATCTTCTTTCCTTCCAAGATCGTCCCTCCATCTATGCACCGCTCGGAAGATGGCAAATTGCTCAGGAGTGAATTGAACCGGGGTTCGCGAGATGAGCTTATACCAGCCACTGGATCCGAGTCCTGTTTCGCTGTCGTAGATAGGGTGTTCATAGCGCTGTAACGATGTCTCCTTAGATCTTTCAAGTACATCCTGGACCTTGTTTTTGTCGGGATTCGAAAAGTCAGACTTCTCAATCAGCTCATTGCGCATGTTGTCGTAGATGTAGAGAAGGAAATGAGTATCTGCGCGTGCGTATTCGAAGAGCTCCGGACTGAGCGGTCTTATGCGCCAATCTGCAAGTTGGTACTGTTTCTGGGCTGTGAACTTGACATGTCTCTCGAGCAGGTAGGCTAGACTGGCGCCAGGGTAGCCCAGTGCTCGGGCAGCATGGTACGTATCGAAGAGGCCAACAACGTAGAGTCCTAGATCGCGCTGCAGCCACATGATATCCATGTAAGCACCATGCAAAACTTTGAGAATGCTGGGATCCGCAAAGACTTCATTCAAGCACTCCAACTTCCGCCGCCAGGGTTTCAGTGTATCCACTATCCAGTCCTTGTCGCGAGTACTTATCTGCATCAACGAAACCATGCCAATATAGGAGCGATTGTCATGGTGTTCAAGATCTACAGCGATTTCCTTTGCTGTCTTTAGCTCAGAGAGCATGGTAGCCAGCGCTTCAGGCGTGTCGACTAGGGTTGCAGTTGTAGATTCAAAAGGCTTATATTGCTGCGGCTCGGCGTATTCGTAGACATTTGCTGGGTATTCGTACTCTTCGATTTCGGTTTGGTAGGGATGCGGGTATCTGCAACGGATGTTAGCGTATGGAATTGACATGGTGCTTTTGTCCTACTGTTCCCGTCCGCGCTTGTCCCTGAATGTCTTTAGACATTCTTCCAAGGGAATCTTTGCGTGTGGTTTGGATGTGACCAGTGGGCGGAAGCCACCAGTCTCGTCGTTGGTCGGCACGTGCTCAAACTGGAGCTGTGGCTTTGGAATGATCTTCCTGTCGGCAATGTTGGGGCGGGGCTTTGCAGCGGCCTGTACACGGGTCAGACGATGGGCCTTGCTTTGGGCACACATGGCTGGAGATCCTACCTGTTCGCCAGCTGGGCTCAACCGCTTGACCACGCCGGTGTACTCATCCAGACTGGTGTCGGCCTTCTCAAGCAAGCTGTCGATGACATCAACAACCCCCCTCCAATTGGCGTCTATGGCTTCGACATCGGGTAGCTTGGGACCTACAGCGTCCGAGCTCGCAGCAGCATTCTGGAGAAGGCGCTGCGCGAGGTGAAGGAGGCGCGCATTTTGGGCGTCCAACTGGGTGCCAGCATCGGGGTTCAACGACCTCTGGAAAGGGATGTCTGCTTTGCCAATGGCAGCAGCAGACCTGGTGGTTGGTTTGAGCGCGGCCGAGATCTCTGTCTGCAGTGTTTTAAAAGAGTCCATGGCGTCTCTCAGTATGCGTTCATTCTTCTGGACGGTTCTCGATAGCGTGGGCTCTGGGGGCGGCTCACTTCGACGTGGCGCGATGAGTTGGCGTGGAAAGGGTGCGCGTGTCGCAAATGGTTTGATGAAAGAAACCTTCAAATGATTTCAGAGTTAGCGCGCTTTGCTTATCGATAGCCATGGCAGTAGCTGCAACCTTCACTCGGTCCTCCGCAAACTGCTCCGGCCCACCCATCTCACAAGCATACTACAAAAATATGTCGGCCTCATTAGCACCAGAATGCAACCAAGTCAAAGAGTGATTATTGCATCTCATCGTGGTGCTGCAGCCATTATGCTGACATTTTATAGGCGCTACGACAACTGCTTCCTAAAGTGGTACAGCGAGAGTACGTCACACGTCTATTGCGACTGGGAACTGGCCCTAATTAACATCTGCACAGAATTTCTGCGTGGCACCGCTACAACTGATGACTGCAAACCAATCTTTGAGCAGTATGAAAAATGTCTTTCTGTCCGTACATGTGCCCAAGATGAACTGCACTGCAGCTGACATAGTCTATTAGAGAGCACTCAATGAACGAGGCATTGACAAGATGCTTAAAGAAGTGCGCGAAGACAACAAAGAGAACGATGCTGAGCATATGAAGCCTGTAAGTGTTGACCTATTCAAGTCCAAAGTATAATCTGATTGAAACTTCAGAGTCGATGAGGATTGGAACGTAGTAGTCTTTCGTGGTAACATTTCTCCTTTTGCTTTTCAACAACCTCCACACTCCAAAATGTATCATTATATTCCCCAACATCCGCCGAGGGACTTTGTTCTCGAACGTATCCGGAAATTTGATTTTTTTTTAGACTCGGTGCCAAGGTGTAAATATTCACCGACCGGCCGGACAGTATCAACGCCAGCTTTGCCTCTTTGTACTATACCGTGGTCTTGGCATACCTATCTCATCTCTATCTCTCATGCAACCGAGATATTTTAATGCCGATTTGCTAGATTCATACCTGTACAATGCGCTAAACTTGCCCGTGACGGCATGGGTCCCGAACCGCGTTTGTTTCGGACCTACTATGCCCTATCCATTTTAACACTCCACTAGTTTATAAAGCTGCTCTCTCTCGCACCTGTCCTTGATGGTTTACTGTTTGCATATCTGTTCCTCTTTCCAAAATGGCAACTAAGGTCGGTCTCAGCGTGCCAATGCCGCTCCTTGCTCCTGTTACTGCCACTTGGGCAGCTCCCTTCGCGGCCTACTACCTTTTCCTCCAACAGCGCATTGTAGCAAAGCGATTTGGCACAAAGACGTAAGCCAGAGCTGACCGATGTATAAAGATTGCTTATAGACTAATCTTGGTGAAAGTGTTTTGGGTGATAAGTCGGGCGCACCTCAAGGCGCACCGGACCCTCTCTTTGTGGACACACGTGCGCAAGCCAACTTTGTCGAAAACGTACCATTCATACTCTCGATTGCACTCCTTGCTGAGCTCAACGGAGCCAACAGGTAATTGTACCACGCCGATGCATGATTATGTTGGATCTAACCAAAGTGCTAGGACTTACCTCAGCTACGCTCTTGGCGCTCTTTTTGCTCTCCGTGTTGGCCATGTTGAGCTTGGCCTGAGGGCGCCCAGCGGAAAAGGTCCCGGAAGACCGCTTGGTTTCGTCGGCACTCAGGTGATATTAGCTGGGCTCGCTGGATATGCGGCGTACTTGGTCAAGGACTACTGGACCGTCTAAGCGACCAATGCAATGATGTGAAGATGGCCTCGGCATTTGTAGGCTCCAAAATATATGTTGTCAGTGGAAAGAAAGTAGAAGTAAATTTGTCTTTCATGAAGATATGCAACTGTGTACATAAGCAGCCGACAAACTCCAAGCCACATGTGAGATGCAAGCGCATTACGTAGCTGCGGCGCCAAGGCTGTTCTCTACATGCTGTGGAGCTGCTGCTGTCCCCGTCCCCACCAAATCTCTGTGTACACGATATCGGTTCCACCAGATATCGCAGACGCGTCCGAACACACCTGAGTCTCCGAATCACCCGTCGCTATTCACTCGACGTCTCGTTCTTAAACTTGCCCCGCGGCGCAATGGAGGCAGCGTCTGCGCGCATGGCAACCCGCGATCGCTACGGCATATACGGAGAGGCACCGACTTCACAACTGCAGCGCTATATATGTACGCAACACATGCCGCACCTATGTGGAATGATGCTGATACAAGTGGCGCAGTGCAAGCATGTGATCCGCAAAACTTTGAGCCCAATCTGGCCCTGAATCTCGAGATCACCGACCTGATCAACAGTAAGAAAGGCACAGCGTAGGATCGGAAACACCCCACCACTACACATGCACAATCCTAATGACTCCCCAGGCCCCGAGAAGCGGCCGTCACAATCGTACACTATGTCAATCACCGCAATCAGAATGTCGCCCTCCTCGCGCTCAACGTATGCCTATGATGCCCCGCCTTGAAACAGCATAGCTCACCATAACACAGCTCCTCGACATATGTGTCAAGAATTGCGGCTACCCTTTCCACCTCCAGATCAGTACCAAAGAATTCCTCAACGAGCTCGTCCGCCGCTTTCCTGAACGTCCGCCTATTCACTCGTCGCGAGTACAGAACAAGATTCTCGAGCTCATAGAAGAATGGCGGCAAACCATATGCCAGACATCGCGCTACAAGGACGACTTGGGCTTTATAAGGGATATGCATAGACTGCTGAGTTATAAGGGATATATCTTCCCGGAAGTTCGCAAAGAAGATGCCGCAGTGCTCAATCCGAGCGATGTATGTGCATGAAATTGCCCGTGATAGTCTCGTATTGCTGACGATGCGTAGAACCTCCGGTCGGCAGAAGAGATGGCAGAGGAAGAACGAGAGGCGCAATCCGCAAAACTGCAAGAATTGATCCGTCGGGGTGGACCTGCAGACCTGCAGGAAGCCAATAAGCTTATGAAAGTCATGGCTGGATACGATACCCGAAACAAGACCGATTGGCGGGCAAAGGCTGCTGAGGAGGTTGGCAAGATACAACAAAAGGCCAGAATCCTGGAGGAAATGCTGCAAGGTTACAAGCCGGGCGATCAGATCAAAGAGGGAGATGTTTTTGAAGTATGTCCGGAACGATGGTGGTGTACGGCAGCTGTTGTTTGACTAACTCGCGACAGGAGCTGGCCAATGCCCTTCAGAATGCGCAACCTAAAATCCAGAAGATGTGCGAGGAGGACTCTGAGGATCACGAGGCCGTGGCGAAACTATTTGAGATCAACGACAGTATACACCGGACGATACAGAGATACAAGCTTTTCAAGAAGGGAGACATCGAGGCTGCCAACAACATCCCTCAGGGAACGCTTGGTCGCAGTGGTGCTGGAGTATCTCAAGGCCCCAACAACACATTAAACCTGATTGATTTTGGAGATCCGGAACCTACACCGCAAGCAGGAGGATCATCACAGGCTCAGCAACAAGCACCAGCTGCAGGAAACGCACTTGAAGATGATTTATTGGGCCTGTCGTTGAGCGGAGAGACCTACGGACAGTCTGGTAGCATAGCTTTGGGTGGTTCAAATGGCTCAGGTAAGCAGATCTATTCGAGTTCTCGGTTAATTACTAACATTTCTTAGTTCTTGGTCTGTCTGGCATGGCGGCGCCGCAAAAGGCAACCAACCAAGCCATAACCGATCTCTTCAATGCAGGACCAAAGTCAACTCAACCGCAAGTCGCATCGCCCCCTCCATCTTCCTTTTCAACGCCTCCCCCACAGCCGGCTCGCACACCAGACCCATTTGCTGCTCTCGCCTCTACCCCTCGACAAGCCTCACCCTTCCAGTATCAACAATCAGTCAAGCCACCAGCTGTTGCTTCTGGTGCCGTTGATTTACTAGGCGTTGGCGTCGCCGGCGCGCCGGCAGCAAACCTCGCACAAAGCACTGATGCTGCTAATGACGACGATGAATGGGATTTTGCTTCATCTGTACCTGATACCTCGAAGGAATTGACCGTCACTAACACAAGCATCAACGTTCTTTTCAACATTTCGAGAGAAACAGATACAGTTTTGCTGATCCAGTCACGGATATCCAACAACACTTCTTTGCCAGTCTCTAGCTTGACGTTCCAAGTGGCTGCCTCAAAGGTAAGTTTGAACCATGAGCACTGACTTTGTGTAGTTTGCTAACAAATCATAGGGTGCACAACTCCAGCTTGAACCCCAATCAGGCGTCAATCTCGGGCCCAATCAGAAATTCGGCATCACACAAAACATACGCGTGAACAATGTCCAAAGAGGTTCGGGCAACAATGTGAAGATGAGGTGGAAGGCTTCGTACTCGCTTGGAGGACAGCAGAAAAACGAGATGGGTGAGATTACGAGCCTTGGAGTTCCATAGCCATTGTGATAGAAAAGATGCGTTGTTGCTTTGCGAAGAGCGCTTAACTGGGCTTTGACGGTGGGGACGGTGAAGACGAAGTTTGGCTTGCTCTAAAAAGATATCCTTCAGCTCATAATATCCTTTTTTGTTAGTTGCGTGGTACTCTGTAGGTCATCGACAAGTGTGAACGACGTCACCACGCTAGCGCCACTTATCGATTACAAAGTTATTCCACACCCTTGCCCCTCCGACATTGTCGACTCACTCGCCGCAAATCAGACTCGCCACTCTACCTCGAATATCAAACTCTCACAAGACAAGATGGTTCGCCATAAGAAAGATTTCAAGGGCAACAATAAGTTCAAGAACCCCGCCAAAGCACGCCCTACCCCTCGCCCGCGCCGCGCCTCAGACGAAGAGGAGAATGGCGCTGCCAACCCAAGACCTGCTAAGCCTGAATTCAAGGCCGCATGCTGGGATCTTGGCCACTGCGATGCGAAGCGATGTTCGGGCAAGAGGCTTATGCGCCTGGGCATGATGCGCGAATTGCATGTGGGGCAGAAGTTTGCGGGTGTGGTGGTGAGCCCAAAGGCAAAGAAGATTATAAGTCGCGAGGACAAGGAATTGTTGGAGCAATATGGCGCTGCTGTAGTGGAAGCGAGCTGGAACAGGATAGATGAGGTGCCTTTTGGCAGGATAGGTGGCAAATGCGAACGCCTACTTCCTTACCTTGTTGCGGCAAACCCTACCAACTACGGCCGGCCATGGCGACTAAATTGCGTCGAAGCGTTGGCGGCATGCTTTTACATTTGTGGTCACCCCGAGTGGGCTGAATCAATCTTGTCGACTTTCTCGTATGGCCAGGCATTCTTGGACATTAACGCCGCTTTGCTTAAGCGGTACCTGGCGTGCGAAAACGAGGAGCAGATCAAGAAAGCCGAGGAGGTATGGCTTGAGAAGATCGAACGCGAATATAACACAAGCAGGACTGAAAAGGAGGAAGGTGCCGAGGAAGACGAGTGGGCGGGGGGAAACATGAACAGGCGTGTTATTGACGAGTCGGATGAAGACGAAGACGACGAAGACGACGAAGACGGAGAGAGCGGCGAAGACGAGGACGAGGACGAGGACGAGAACAAAATTGACCCCAGGAACCCTTACAACATTCCAGAGTCCTCGGATGACGAAGAGGAAATGGCAGAACTGAGGCGCCGTGTGCTTGCTTCCAAGCCGTTCGCTAATCCTACAAAGAAGGACGAAGACGACGAAGACGAGGATGAGAAAAAAGCACCCAAACGTATACCCGTGACTGAGCCTTTGCCAAAGAATGGAGCTCCTGCAGACGGGGACATCAGCGAGCCAGGAGAAGGTGACTCACAAGATGATGAGTTTGATAGCTTCATGGCCGCACAGCCCACAACCGACCGCACCGGAATCGAGAGCAAGCAGAGGATGAAGGCCATGGACAACAAGTACAAGGCCACTTTCTCAAGTGGGAGTGTAAAGGCACCTAGTGGGCGGGGATATCACTGATCATATGATGGGTGTGTGTACAGATCTATACTGTATGAGTATGCAAATGAGTGCCTATAGGTCGAAAACCTAGGTCTGAATATAGATCTCTCTTGTTCAAGGTGGCAGTTTTTCGGACTAAGGAAGTTGTGATCTTCTAAACTGACACTTGGTTTCCCCAGTAGAATGCAGAGATAATTCGATGTAACGAATCAAACAGGACCACGTCACAAGGCAAGGTGGAGATGCAATGGGAGATTAAGAGTTTCATTTCTTCTATGGAGAAGAACGCCGATACATGCCAGCTCAAATCATTTAGAAAGGAAAAAAGAGAGATCATGCTCTAGCACTAGCCAAAGCCGCTTACATGCAAGCAGCACCGTCAATGCCAATGACCTTTCCGTTGACCCAGTCACCGTCCTGGGAAGCCAGGAAGCAGACGACACGGGCAATGTCTATTGGCTGGCCAACACGGTTGTGGGGGGACCATGTGCAGGCGTACTCGTCGACCTGGTCGTCGGAGAGCTGGTCACCGTTGGGAATGTACTCGCGGCACACGGCGTGGTACATGTCAGTCTTGATGCCACCGGGGGCAACGCAGTTGACAGTGACCTTCTTCTCACCGGCGTCTGAAACAAAATGATTAGTACGTGATAAAACCCCCGAATTTAGGGGAGGATGAGCAGAATCGACTTACCGATAGCCATGCACCTGGTGAAAGTCTCGATGGCACCCTTTGAGCCAGAGTAGACGGCGTGCTTGGGGACACCCTTTGCCTGACCGGTGATGGAACCCATAAGGATGATACGGCCACCCATCTCCATGCGCTTGTAGGCAGCCTTTGCTACGAAGAACTGGCCACGAGTGTTGATGGTGAAGACACGGTCGAACTCCTCGGGGGTGACATCCTTGAAGTGGCCGAAAGAAACGACACCAGAGTTTGAGCAGCAAATGTCGAGCTTGCCAAAGTGCTTGACGACGTCGTCCATGAGCTTCTCCGACTCCTCGACGTTGCCGACGTTGGCCTTGAAGGCGTGGGCGTCGGAGCCGTTGCCGAGGGCCTTGATCTCCTTGACGACTTGCTCGGCGCCCTCGACGGCGTTGGCGTAGTTGACGGCAACTTTGGCACCGCGCTTGGCGAGCTCAATGGCCATGGCCTTGCCGATACCGCGGCCTGGAGGTATTTTGTAAGCATGATGAAGGAGGTGTATACTAGAATATTGTTAAGAATGTCTTACCTGAGCCGGTGACGACGGCGACCTTGCCGGCGAGGCTCCATGTTTGCTCGATGTTGGCCATTGTGAATGTGTTGATTTGGTGATGAAAGACAAAAGTCTATTGTTTGTTTGTAGTGAAGCTGTAGAGAAGAGAGGAGCTGTTGATTGATGTGATGATATTCTATGTCTACGGTCAAACAATGCCTCATATATACCCCATTTCGCCATCCGGAACTCCAGGCGGAACAAAAAAATGGCCTCTGGCCATGAGGTACATCTGTTCTCCATTGCAGAGAACCGTCGCTGTTTCCCCCTCCATCACCCAGCTACTGGTTTCTCCCCCCACCACCATCTCACACTGCCCTCCCGGGTCCGGCACATCGCTCTCGCCCCCAAGGTTCGTGGGTCCTAGGGCTGAAACTGCGAGTGTACCTGCGCCCGCGCGCGGTTCCGTGATGACAAGTCCCCGTAGGAGAGCCTGAGCCTCAGGGCACGCGAAGTCCGGGAGGAGGGGCCGAAGTGCGAAAGATGGGAGATGCCCGTTTTTTCATTGGATGATGGGTTAGGCCTCCCCCCGATTACGTGCAACACCAAAGTTTCCAGTACCTCTGTTTCTCTATGAATCAGGTCTATTCTTGTAATACGGAAATAGAAATAGCTTTTCTTAGAAATGTGGTTACTGTGGGTCGTGTTTGAGAGTGGATTGTAGACAGTAAATTGCGATACCTGAATTTCCTCGTCTCTCCCTCTCAGATAGTCCAGACGGAAGCGGGGAAAACCTCGTGTTCCCTGGTGCAACAGCCCTGTAAGGATCGTGGCATCTAAACGTCCGCAATCTACGGGACTCCGTTATCGAGACATTGTCTTGGTGTACATGAGCCACGGCATCCATCGAGGGTCTTCCGCCTCGTACCGGTATAGCCCTGGGAATCTTACTACTGAGCAAAGTCATGTGATCATCGCAAAAACGCCATGTAGTGGGTAGTCCGGTAAGCTCACCAAGATCCGGTACCATGCTTCCCCAGTAGTACCCTCAAACCAGAGATCTGTTCAAAAAACACGAGCTCATGGCTCCCCATGCATTCACGCTGATAGGCTGCCGTTCAATCTAGCGAACTCTTGGTATTCGGATCAAAAGGGCCCCGGCAAAAGGCGCGAGAGTCGTGCAATTCGGCAACGGTGATTGTCTCTCCTCTCCACAGCCCTTGGTGTCGCAATGCAGTCGAAAAAAAAAGTGCTGGGTGGACTAGCTAGCAGCTAGTAGCGATGCCGGCGGCGGCGGGCCCATGGCGGGGATCCGCGGGTTTGTAGGCCAGCTCCACTCCCCCGTCCGTGCATGTCCACCTCACTTCATGTCTTCAACACGCTGTGTGCTGGTGGATGATTATGTTTTTCGGATTGCTGACTGCATCCCCTTTTTTCTTGGTACTCGGGTTCTTACTACTAACGCCTATTTTGAGTTATTGGAGTCATGTGTGTATATTGGGATATCGTCCGAATACGAAGACCTGCTAGGGCTTAGTGGTACGGAGATTGGGCTGAGTTGTTTTCATCCAGATTACAGACGCAATGGAAGATGGTGAGAACGGTGATAGGTATGCTATGTGACGTGGCCGGCATTTTTATTCCACGTTTAGTGGATGTCTAGATGCCGTCGCTGGATATGCGATGTTTTGACGACAGCAATACAACGACCTCGACACTGCGATCATCCTCGGGGAAGGCTATTGGTTCTTGAGCATATACCACGCTTATCCATTATGCGAGTGCATGTCACTTCGACGTGGACACCGTCAATATCTCGCTGCAGCATCCGCGGAAGTATCCGCAGCCTTGTATACAGACTCCGGCGCGGAAGCATGCGTAAAGACAGATGGCCATCAAAAAATGACATAGTGTTTACCATAATATGAAGGATCCAAAGAGGGAATATGAAGCATCTTGTATCCATGCTGTGTAATACAGGATATCATTTAACGAGATGGCAACACATATTGGCTTTTGTACCATGTCGTACCAGACCGTACTCTACGTAGCGCGCAAGCGACTTGCCCGTTGCACCGCATCACTTTTCCAGCAAAAAACAAGCCAACCCACCAACCATCCAGAACCCCGCCTCACCATTGTCAAACTGCACACACAACCCGTTGAAAGCGGTTGTACACCCCCGAAAAAACGTCTCACCCCAACGTCTTCGTCGTGTCATGCACACTACACGAACCAAGATACTTTCGCTCCCCCCTCCATCCGTAGCACACACTCACCTCCCACTTCCTTGGAGACAAAAAAAAGAGGGTCCCACCGATAAACGCAGTTCATGATTCATTCCCCCGCCGAACCCATCATTCTGTAACAGGTATATCCCGGAGTCGATCGCCGCGTAGAATACCCCATATCACATACCTTACCGTTTACCCACTCACCGGTAATGCCCTTGTGTATACTATCCCAACCCGATAACCTGCAACCCAATCGAAGACAGGATACGTAGAATTTTCCTTTAATCAACAAAGTTACTATGTAGTGTTATATTTCCAAAAGCCGTGATTATACTACTTTACCCTACTCTTTCTCCGCACTTTCCCCAAAAAAAGGGTCTACTATTCGGACACCCACCCAAAAAAAAATTGCTCCCGCCGGTACTCCGTCAACCAACACGCCCAAAGCCCCATGCGTGCGGTCTCGGCTAGCGCGCGGGGCGGGCAAAACCGCAGCGATCTGCACCGGGTGTTGGGGTGTTGGGGTGGGCATGCCTTACATCTGCTTCATGCCGATACTATCTCGTCGCATGTACCCTACTAAGTGCCTTCTTTTTTTGGGACAGTGGTAGCGGGGGAAAAGATGAGGCGTTGGGATACGAATGTACGTACGTGTCCGTTTGTTGCTTGTAGGAATCACGATTCATGGTATCTTCGGTCTTTCAGGAAAGGAAGGAGTGGAGGTCGAGATGGGGGGGAGGGCACGGATGGCCGCTGGGCTGGGCAAACGGCAGTGGCGGAGGACGGTGGGAGTAATGTCCGACTTGCCGACCGTTTGTTTACTACTACTATATTTTCTTTTCCTATTTTATCTCGTGGGAAGAGGGGGGAGACGGGGGACATAGTAAGGAGGTGGGGAAATACGGACTTTATGGCGTTGGATGCCTTACTGGTAGTAACTTTTCTTGCTTGAGCCTAGGAATCTGAGATGCAGGACGTTAGTCCTCTTTTCTCTCCCTCTCGTTCACTCTATCCATCGGAGATTGAAGATGGAAATGGCCGGTGGGTGAGGGCGGGCCGGTGGGCGTTCTGCGTGTTCGCTTCTTTTCTTCTTTATTGTCGTGTTGGCTGGAATACGTACCGTACGTACCACGGGGATTGCAATGCGGGCAGCCGTAGTCTTGGCGTTTTGTTGTCGTTGGCTATTTAGCGTGCAAGATGCAAGAGAGAGAAAGAGAAGGGGAAGTGACGAAATTGTGAATGGCGTTTTTTTGCTGCTCGCTGTTTTACGAGGAGGCGGCGTTAGCTGGTTTCATGTCTCTAGGTGCGTGGGGGATGCTGGGCAATTTGTACACGAAGAACGACGTCAGAGGGAATGCCTAGGCGTAGACTTGAAAAGACGCGTGGTCGTTGGATGCAAGAGAAGAAAAAACAGCCAGTCAGCTTTGAATTTGGCCAGCGTATCCCAGGATGATTTTTAGACGCGTAAGCTTTGATACCAAAAGCAGGCTTCATGCAGCAAAGCACAGGCTGTCCTTTGTCCTCCGGGGGATTAATCCTCTCTGCATACCATTTTGGTTGACACCGGAACATCATTACTGCATATGAAGCCTGTAATCAACTAGATATGCCCAGTAAAAGTATGTAGTGTAGATTGGTGCCGCGTTCGGTGAATGACATGGGCATTCTCCGATCTGCAGTTTCCCAGAGAGTTAGCCGACATCAAGTGGGCGGGTGCTTGTACTATCCAGTTGGTTGGATTTCTTTGCAAATGACCAATACGGGCGTTGATCAAGTTATCCGGAAAGCTTGATGACTGGGGTAGTGGATCGATCAACGAATAGACTCGCTAGTACAGTATGGGTAGTGGAGGGATGAGGCGGGTGTCTTAATGGTGTGACGACGTGTGTACCCGAGTAAGTAGCGTCCGGGAAGAGGAGAGGCGAAAAATGATCTAGGTAAAGGATCGAAGGGGGGGCGGAGGAGGGGACGTGCCTTATGACGCCTTGCCTCGCATTATGCTCCACACAAGTGTCTCGTCACTAACGCTTTGGAAAGAGGGGTGAAAAGGTTGCAGGTAGGGTTCTTTGTCCGGAACCCAAGTGCCTTGCTCACCCCTTTTCACCGATCCTGTGCTGGAGTTATATACCCCGTGCTGCTAGTCAGTTCACTGCCAAAACCGTGATCCGAATCCCAGTGTCGACGATATCCCAGAGAATGATCAAATTGCCTACCCCATCTGTTCAAACGGCTGAGAAGGAACACCCCGCCGCCACTGCCGGTCTCGTCATACCCACATATGATACCACACGCGTCTCTTATTCGACCCCGCCAGCCATGAAAAGCCTCACAACTACTCAAGACACCAATTACCACTCGTGAACCACCAACGCGCCCCATGCTTGGCCAACATGTATCTGAAACAGGTGAACGCCAAAGAAAAAGAAAATAACGCTCAAAAGGCATGTTTGCAGATGATCTAGGACGGAACGGTTCAGTTGAGGGTGTGGGCGAATGAACAAACAAGAAGGTATAAGAGTGCAATGAGGGAGCAATCAGCTCGACTGGTCATTCCTTTTGTGGAGGACGATACCGATTGATCAAAAATTCATCGAAGCATTCCCGCATCTACGAATGAGATGCAAGAAGAGGAGGATGGATGGTTCGGGCAAACGAACATGGTCAGCTTTTCCCACCAAAGACAATCGACACTGGTCTATACTTCACTGGTACCAACAAATGTTCACTGCGCCTGATAAGATGGAGGAGGAAGATGCATTGTCTGGCTGAAGGAATATTGTTCGGTACGTATGTCTTGTCGTAAGTAAACTGAATTGAAAGCAAAGGTCGGCCTACTTACCGTCGTCAATCCTCCATGATTGAG